CACCGTAGCACGATATTGTCCGCTTTGGGCTTACCATTCCCTCACGGTTTTGTTTTTGGGAACTCACGAGCAACTTCCCAGTGGGTCACCCATCATGGGATTGCTCTAGCCCCCTTCTCGCTTAACTTTGGAGTTCCTACGGAACCCGAAGCCAGTGAGCTCCCAAAAGGTCTCGTGCTAGGTAGAGATGAGAATATACATATAAGGATCACTCCCCTGGGCGATGTGGGATGTAACAATCCACCCCTCTTAGGGGCCCGACGTCCTCGTCGACACACTCGCGACCAGGGTTAGGCTCTGATACCAAATTGTCACATCCCGCCTCGGGTCGGATCACTTCCCGGGCCCGCTCCACCACCGTAGCACGATATTGTCCGCTTTGGGCTTACCATTCCCTCATGGTTTTGTTTTTGGGAACTCACGAGCAACTTCCCAGTGGGTCACCCATCATGGGATTGCTTTAGCCCAATTGTCACATCCCGGCCCGGGGCATATCACTTCCCGGGCCCGCTCCACCACCATAGCACGATATTGTCCGCTTTGGGCTCCGACCACGCCCTCATGGTTTTGTTTTTGGAAACAAGTGACAATTGGTATCAGAGCCTAACCCTGGTCGCGTGTGTGCCGAGAGGACGTCGGGCCCCTAAGGGGGGTGGATTGTGACATCCCACATCGCCTAGGGGAGTGATCCTTAAATGTATATTCCCATCCTTACCTAGCACGAGGCCTTTTGGGAGCTCACTAGCTTCGGGTTCCGTGGGAACTCCGAAGTTAAGCGAGAAGAGGGCTAGAGCAATCCCATGATGGGTGACCCCCTGGGAAGTTGCTCGTGAGTTCCCAAAAACAAAACCGTGAGGGAATGGTAAGCCCAAAGCGGACAATATCGTGCTATGGTGGTGGAGCGGGCCTGGGAAGTGATCCGCCCCGGGCCGGGATGTGACAATTGGTCCGTCTTGTTCCTCAGAACTTTTTCCTTCCAATCTAGTATCGTCACTGGTTCCTCGTCATAAGTCAAATCTAGATTGATTTCCAAGGGTTGAGGAGGTATCACGTGAGACGGATCAGCAACATAATGTTGAAGCATGGACACGTGAAAAACGTTATGTACTCTAGCCAACTCCGGAGGCAACTCCAACCTGTAAGCTACCTCACCAACTCGCTCTGTGACCATGTATGGTCCGATGTACCTGGGACTCAACTTGCCTTTCTTCCCAAACCGCACGACACCTTTCCATGGTGAAAGTTTTGTGGAGAAATCATTCTGTGGAGGAAGCTACGTGGGAAACGGAAGATCGGATGAGGGATTTGTATCCTTGGTTGTTCTTTGGTCACTACAGGTTGTTGCTTTGTTGTTTTGAATTTCGGGACGAAATTCTATTAAGGTGGGTAGGTTGTGACAGCCCGTCCCAGAAATATTACGACGTACGTGTGAAAAGACAAAATTGCCCCTAGTTCGATTTCTTTACGTTTATTAGTTGTTTTTGAGTTTGGTTGGCATGTTGTAGGCCACACACACTTTCCCACACACCACAACCTTTCCTCCTGTTTCCTGCACACTGTCCCGAGTCCCCATTCCCTTCCCATTTCCTTTGAAACGTACAGACACACCCACAAACCCATCGAACCTTCACAGATCGTGGAATCCAAGCATATATTCAGACTCGTGAGGCTTGTAGGAGTCTAACTATACCTTTTTCAGATAAGAACACCTTCGTTTTCACATCGAATCCACGATGCCCGATTTTGGTACTGTTCATGCACACGTAATTTCTCACGTTTTAGGGAATTTCAAGCTTGTAGGAAGCTTGGTGAGGTCCCTAGGAGGCTCGGGGTGGTTCGTTTGATGGTTTTGGATGTCGGGATCACAAGTTTCAAGGTTGGCCGGAGTTGGGGTGATTTTCCAGGTGAGATTTCGTGGTTTTTAGCACTTGAAAGTGGTATGATTGTGTTCCTCTCGTTGTAAGCTTCATTTTGGTGCCAATTTTGTGAAATTTGGTTGAAAAACGAAGAAGATATCGAAGTTTGAAATTTTCTCGATCGCCGGAGAAGACGACGGAATATTCCGTCAAGTTTGACGGAATATTCCTGACGCCGTTGTTGGAAACCGTTAGGGATAATGGAATATTCCCTTACGGCGTCAGTTGATGCCGTCAGCGTGCCAGGCACGTGCCTGCGCGTGGCCGGCGCGTGGGGGCGCGTGCGACGGTGAAAAATTATTTTAAAAATATGGGGATGTTCCTGAGGTTGAGTAGATCACGTTGGTGTATTCATACACCCTATTTGAGCATTGTATGAGAAGTTATTTCTAAAGTTTGGTTATGTGCTTTAAAATTAACGTTTTTATAGTGGTTTCGCATATAGGTGAGACGTATCCCGAGGACGAGCGTGGTCACTCGAGGCAGGGGGGTTATGACCCTTCCACTTACCAGTGAGTGGGCTTTTGGTTTTCCGTATATACCTATATACTTATATTTTCCCATAAATTGATTTGAATTGTCATTTGCCATATGCCATGCATTAGATTATCGTTTTTTATGCGTCGTTAGTTACATTATTAGTTGTATATATATACATATGCATATTGGGTGCTGCGGACACACAGGTAAGTGCCAGGTAAGTGTTATTCATGTTTACATTCAGTAGCGATTCGAGATGCTTAGAGAGCTCATAACCTGCACCCCCGGTGTTAGTGCTCCCGCCCAGAGTAGGGCACAGTCCTTCACGTGATGTTCACCTCCCGCACCACACGCTCAGCTTGGATCCAAGTTAGGTGCACAGTCCTGTCGTACAGACCACATTAGGTGGTTCCGACTCGTAGGTGACCCGCGATTATTCGCACAGCCTTCACGTGATCGTAGCACCAGAGCGTTTATATGTATTACACCCAGGCCTGTCGTACAGACCGCTTTAGGTGGTTCCGACTCGTGGGCAGGTTTAGTTAGATATTGAGATTTGAGCTCTAGATTCAGCCGTACAGGTCACGTTAGGTGACTCCGGCTGCCAGACTATATAATATTGATATGATTTTCACCTGAGCACTTGTATTTCATTGTGAGATTTGGCATGACATATCCTGAAGCATGATTGATATATATATATATATATATATGTACATATGTTTATTTTCTGGGAAGTATACAGGTTTTACGGCGAGGGGTTAGAACTTATTTGTTAAATGGTTTTCGAAAAGCTTTGTTTTTGCCCACTCACGCTTTTGTTTTGCGCCCCTCCAGGTTCTAGTTGTCTAGCAGGTTTGGTGGTTTCCTAGAGGGCTTCCCGGCATTTCTGACAGACGATCACCATCGTAGGGCCACCTTCGGGTGTACTATTGTCGCGTCATTTTCGTTTGGACTGCTTTAGGCGTTATGCTCTGAACTTGTGTCCCACTTACGCTAGCACTTGTTTCTATTACCTTATGTATGCTAGTTTTTATTTATTCGTACTTGTTACATTACTATTTTATTAGCTTCCGCACTGTGCACATGGTTACGTCACTTCCACGTGACGGCCAGCATGCCCTGATCTCGATCGGGGTGTGTCAATTATGTGTTAATTTTTTATATTTAAAAATAAATAAAAATGAATTTTACTTTCGTGTAATGTGTGACAGGGTTATGGGTAATTATCGAACTTTTTCATTTCTTTTTAAACGAAAACAAAAATTACAAGGACATCCAAGTTGTTGGAATATGACATTCTCTGTTTAGTCTGTTTAGACCTTCTAACGATAGTTACTTCCTTATAACTGATGCATTTAAGTAGCTAGTCAAATTTATTTACTAGAACCCTAGACTTTTACAAAAGTTTTTTATGCAAGCAAATATTGGGAGAAGTGGGAATAGAACTTGAGATCTTGAGCATACAGGGTAGATGCTTTAGTCAATTGAGCTATATCGAAGTCAAAAGAATAATATATATAAAGGTAACACGGGCATAGTTTGAAGCAGGTACATAAAAATGATCTCAATATCACATTTACTTGATCCACCAAACAAGGCTCCATCAGTTCCATTGTTTGACATCTCAACTCTGACAAAATCACAATCAACCCGCCTACTCGCGGAATGCGATCCTCTTTCCACACCCTAAAACACCCTACACTGCCACGTCGAACCCCACGTTTCCATCCCTCAAATCCTCAAACATAGCAGCCACAACTCGATCCTTGACAAACACCGACGAGGCAGAAGCACTGGCATGCACTTGCGTCTCATTCTTCAGACGAAAAGGATCTTGGTACAACCGTTAGCGACGACATTAGTCATGGAGAGAAACTCCTTGTGATAGAAAACCGAGACTTGCATGAGTACGTCATAGTAGATGCTCTTGTCTTTGTAATTGAGTAAAGTGATGTACCAATTTGCGGTCAGTGAAGAGGAGTAGACAATAAAGGGAGAGACCGAGATGGAGTTGAGCTGGAATATTATTCTATGATGTGAAGAATTGTTGAAGATTCCCACGAGTAATGCCGTCAAGTTTATACAAGTTGTAGTTGTGTTGCGGTGGTGGAGTTAGCGTTGATCAGGGTGCTGGTGGCTGCAGCAACTAGGGTTTGCTTGGAAGAAACAATTTGAGTACTGACTTGGTGGGGCAGCATGGAGAACAATAGGTTAAAGAAGTGGTAATGAACACTGAACTAGCCGAGGGCCGTACGTAGTGGTGGTGATTGATGTTCTAAAACTATAAGCACCTTAATTAATTACTAATTATAGGATACAATTCTTAAACTACATTGCAATCAAACATCTTAATTAAGGCATCTTAATTCCGGGTTATTTCCCTGTTTCTTGATTAAGCTTTTCTTTTGAATAAATTTTGCGATTTTTTTACTACTTCTTCAACGGATGCTAGTTTTTTTCGTGCACGGTTTTTGGGGTTGAGGCATCTTCCATAAAAATAGCTGGTAATTGGTTGAATAATTTGAGGGCGTTAAGCTTTCCAATCCGAGTATAAAGTTGTGATTAAACCAAAATAAAGTTTTCATCGAACCTCCAAACGAAAGAAACTAATTCTGAATTGAAAACTCAAGATGGATTTGAAACTGAAAAATATCTTGCCAATGTTTGTGTCCTTGTTGTTAGTATCCACATCTAATGCCCAATCTGGTGTCTATGATGTAACAAGTGCAAATTATGGTGGAAAAGCAAACTCTGATATAACCCAGGTAGGCATAATATATATATATATATATATATATATATATGTTTACGCAATTCATCTTGAAATGCTAAACTAATTATTTGAGTTAGAATAGAAATTTCTTCCGTACACACTCTTTGGTCTTTGCACATTGTTGCTCTTATTTCTTGATTTTTCTTTTGATTTGTTTAATTCAGAAGTAGGAAATAAATATGCATGGGAAAAATGAATAAGCGGAAGATCATTTCTGTTCTAGAATTGTTTGGTAATTAAACAGAATCATTTCAATTTTTAATTTTTATTTAATGTTTTTAATTAGGCTTTGAGCAAAGCTTGGACAGATGCATGTGCATCGACATCGGCAAGTAAAATTGTTGTTCCAAGTGGGACATACAAGTTTGTAGGGGCAACTTTCAAAGGACCATGCAAAGCCCCTATTGAGTTTCAGCTTCAAGGCACATTGCAGGCTCCCGAAGATGGCAGCCAACTCCCAAAAGCAGATACTTGGATAGGTTTTGAGCGCATTGATGGGCTCACCTTATCCGGTGGTGGAACTTTCGATGGCCTAGGAGCAACTGCGTGGAAGCAAAATGACTGCAACAAAAACAAAAAGTGCAAATCTATTGCTATCGTAAGATAATTTAAATCTTGTTCTTTTATAATTAAAATCTATTGCTAGATTGTGAACTGAGCGGTTGATCATACTCTTCTATGAATATATGGTGCCTGATAGCTGATCCCATATATGTGAAAAAGGTATATATGTCAGGGAGCAAATCAAAGCCATCGAACATGTTGGTAATCTGCAATGTTTATTCACAGTATGATAATATAAGAATTTTCCTGACAACATAACTTTGACAAGAAACATTACTCGTCTTGTTTGTATATGTTTTTAACTTTTTCACACTATTCACAGAATCTGAGGTTCAATTTTGTCACCAATTCCATAATTCGAGACATAACAACAAAGGACAGCAAAAATTTCCACGTAAATCTTTTGGGTTGCAACAATGTGGCATTCCAACATTTTACCGTCTCAGCGCCTAAAGAGAGCATCAATACCGATGGAATTCATATCGGACGTTCAACTGGGATCAACATCACAGATACGACCATTGGAACTGGGGATGATTGCATCTCTATAGGTGATGGCACCAAGCAACTCCATGTAACCAACGTTACTTGTGGACCAGGCCACGGCATAAGCATTGGGAGCCTCGGAAAGTATGAGAATGAAGAACCTGTGTCCGGAATATTTATCAAGAACTGCACAATTTCAAATACAGATAATGGTGTGAGGATCAAAACATGGCCTGCTTCCCCTGCAAATGGCGTTGTCTCAGATGTTCACTTTGAGGATATTATCATGGATAATGTTAAAAACCCTGTCATCATAGACCAAGAGTATTGCCCACATAATCAGTGCACACTTCAGGTATACTATTTTACAGTACCAAAGTTACATCATATTTACTTGGTCAAATACTTATTCTTGAATAATAGATACAACCGACGACCGTTTGATCTCTTGACCCCAACCTCAACCTATTTTGAATAAATACCTGAGTGCACCGTTTGATTGTTTCTGAAAGGGTTTTCAAAAATTTCTATTAACCAAAAACACTTTTAGCGTTTTTCAAAAAAAAAAAAAAAAAAAAAAAACTGAATTTGTCATAACTTCTTCAACATATTTATAATAACAATTTTATATAAAATATTTAAGAGTAAAAGTGCTTTATAATAATACTATTATTGTATCATTGTATGCAGGTTCCATCCAAAGTTAAGATCAGCAATGTCAGCTTCAAGAACATAAAGGGTTCATCTTCAACCCCAGTTGGTATCAAGCTTGTATGCAGTGGAGGGCTGCCATGTGAGAATGTGGAACTGAGTAACATTGATCTCACATACACTGGAAAAGAAGGCTCTATTACGTCTGAATGTAAACATATCAAGCCCACCATTGACAACGTGGCGCAGCCTCTTGCTTGTGCTACATCTTCTTGAAACTAAACCAATTACTCGTTGTGAATAAGTTACCCATGAGACTTTCTCAAATGGCATGAGATGAGTGTGGGTTGACGGTTGAAATTTTTGTTCAAACCTATCTTATAGAAAAAATGACAAAAGAAATATTGTGTTCATTACTCTAGTGCTCCTTAGCTAGTACTGAATTTTTACAAGGGATTTGAATCTAAAATATTTCATTTACAAGTTAAGAAGAATATTTTGAATCACATAATAAATTTTTTTTATTATTTTTAAATAAATTAAAATTAATTTTACATTTATCTTTTGAAATTAATAACAATTTTATATAAAATATTTCATTTAAAATTAATTTTTTTGAATCTAATTTGCAACAGTGTTATTGGGTAATTGTCGAACTTTTTCATTTATCTTTTAAACAAAAATAAAAATTACAAGGATGACACGCCCCGACCCCGATATTCCTCGAATACTAGGATAGACACGTGCTGGCCGACACCCGAGGGTGACGAAAGCCATTTATTGAGTGCAAATGCTGAAAACAAGGGATAAATAAGACTTATAAATATAAAAGAATAATGAATATGCAAATAAGGAACGTGTTCAGAGCACACCTCCAATCTAGAACACTAAAAGAAAATAATATAAAATTGAATGAACCAAGGGAGTGGTTCCTACACCAAGAGGACTCGAAGATGCCGATGCGGAAGTGCCTGGACGTTGGGATTGTATGCCTCGATTCTAAGTGCTGAAGGGGGCGCAAAACAAACATGAGTGGATCAAGTTGATATATATATATATAAAATAAAACAGTTATCAACGTACTAACCACCAGGTTTTATGAAAACACAAATATTATGATAAACATTGGTTTTCCGAAACCTAGCATGTCGTGCAGTGTCTCAAATCATAACTTGTATATATAATAATCACTAGTGAATGTCTGATATAACTCTCTAGGCCCCATGCCGGCTCCCCGTCTCTGAGCAGACAGTCAGAGGAAAATACACTACAGGCCCCATGCCAGCTCCCCGTCCCTGTGCTAAATAGCCAGAGGAAACACACTCTAGGCCCTATGCCAACACCAAATCGTCGTCCGGGACAGACCGGATCTATCCCTACGTCCCGTAGCAGAAAGGACCACTATGTAAGTACAAAACCAGTGAACATACATATATTGAAAATCAACTTCATAGTATAAAGTCATCCATCATCTATACTATAAAGAGGTATTCTAAACATGTTCTAAATATCATATCATCATCCATCAGATATTCTATAAGAACATGGGTTATAGGAAAAATAGTAATAATTCAAACTAGCCTCAGTAAGCATGTTATCTCGTAAAACGTTTCATAAAACATAATCATCAAATCATGCTTTTCATGTATGTATTTCTACTATCAAAACATGCATTTTTTTTAAGGGGTCCACTCATAGTACTTTGCTGTCGAAAAGTCACGCCATCTAGCGAAGAAGGAAACGCCACAGATAATTGCCCCTAAGCACATAAATGGTACATTTAGTCAAACTCTACTCAAACGACTGAATTTGGGAAAATGGACATCGGAAACGGGTTCAGGACGTCGAAATTAGTCTAGGAGGGGTCCCGCACGAAAACCCAAAAAGTCAACGTTGACCGTTGACCGGTCAAAGTCAAAGTCAACGCTGACCGTTGACCGGGTCCGGGTCAACAGGTCAAACGGGTCTGGGCTTGGATCCGGATTGGGGTAAAGGGTTTGGACTTGGGTTGGATTCGGGTTTGGGTCTAATGGGTTTAGGACTAACGGGCTGAAGGCCCTAAAGGAAACGGCCCAAAGGCCTTTAAATTAACAAAACAAAAAAAAATAATAATAAAAGGGTTGGGTTGGGCTGCCCAGGGTTTTGGGCTTGGCAGGAAAGGCCCAAAGGGGTTTGGTGGTTCACCGGATTCCAAGGAAGGAGAAGGCCGGATTTTGGCCGGAGAATTCCCAAGCTCCGATGTAGCTCAAAACTCAACCAAAACATGTCATTCAATATACCAAATTGAATCCTCGAAGGTAAGGAATCGAAATATACCCTTGGTTCCTGTCGTTGTGGCCGGAGTTGGTCGGAAAACAGCCTGGAAGCCACGGGTGTCCGCCGGAAACTGGTAAGATTCAAATGAGTATAACTTCTTCAATACTCAATGAAATTAGGTGAAACAAAAAGAAAAGTTGTATTACTCAGCGAGACGAAGAGATTGATACCTTGCACGCCGGCCAACTCGCCGTGGTTTGGCCGGAAATTTCCTTGAAAGGGGCGGTGCTCGCTGGAAAACTGGGGAAATGTCTCCGAGGTGGTTTCTTCATGGTTTGACGTCCAAAACACAACCATGGGGTTAGAAAAGAACTATAAGGATGAAGAGAGAAACATTTGGAATGTTTTGAGGCTTACCCAAAACGGAAGGGCAAGGAACTCGCCGGAGTTTCTTTGCGCTCCACAAAGACGAAGAGAGAGATAGCTAACGTGGTGATGATGGTGATGCTTTGCTGTTGTTGAGGTGTTTGATGATAAGGGAGATGAGGGTTTGTTGGTGTGTGTGTGTGTATGGCTGTGTTCTGCTTGGAGGGAGGGAGAGAAAGACAGAGAGAATAGGTGAGAGAGAGAGGTCGGGGGAAATGAGATAAGAGAGAACTGAGAGAGAAGAAAGAGATGAGAGGCTCGGGGGGACAGAATCAGGGGGTGGGACCCTTGGGCACATCATTTAAGACCCAAAAACAATTTTAAAAAGGAAAGTATCCCCAAACTTAGTGAAAATACAAAAATACCTTTTTTCTTCCGTAATTCCCGGGACGGGTTGTTACAAAGGACATCCAAGTTGTTGGAATATGACACTGTTTAGTTTGTTTAGACCTTCTAACGATAGCTATTTCCTTATAACTGATGCACTTAAGTAGTCACATTTATTTACTAGAACCTTAGACTTTTACAAGAGTTTTTTATGCAAGCAAATATTGGGGGGAAGTGGGAATAGAACTTATGACTTCGAGTGTACGGCACTACTACAAAAAATACTTTGTGCGATGAAATAAGATTTGTTGCGCAAAGTAAGATTTTGTCACTCAAAACCTTGAGCGATAAAATTTTTGTCGCACATGGTTTGTCGTGCAAAGCTCGTGAAAATAGGGTTTGCGTGACGAAAATTAATCTTCATCATGCGAAGGTACTTTGCGATACGAAACATTTCATCGCACAAAGTCTTTGATTTTTTTTATTTAATTAAATTAATTTAATATGTTGCTTGACGAAATATTTGGTAAGAAAGTTTTTGGTTTTTATTTTTTTATGCAATTAAATTGACATTTTGTTTTATTATTTCTATTATTTAATTTAATTTTAGTAATTGTTTGTGTGACAAAATATTTGGTAGCGCAAGATGTTTTGAATTTTTACTTTTTAAATTTAATTTAATTGTATGGCTTTATTTTTTTAATTACTTTAATTTAAATTGACATATTTAAAATAAAATTACATATGAAAAATAGTGATCAAATTATCCATAATATATTTTATTAAAAATGTACATATAAATTAACAAATTACAATAATAAAATCCTAATACAAGTCTATTGTGGTGGTAGTGGCGGGGGGATATGGTCTGATAGCGTCATAATCCTCAACTCCTCAACTTTCACCATCAAAGTCCCAACGATTCCCTACAAAAAAAAAAAGCCAAATAAGCAAAAAAAAAAAAAAACATAAAATAATACCAAAAAATGGACATAACCTCCCCTAAAATCGGCATACCCCAAAACTCCACCCTTCACCCTATACCTGACCCCAAACCCAAAATTAACTCCAAAAACACATATTAATGAGAAATAAATTAAAATTTAGAGAGAAAATACCTTTTGGCAAGATTGAGAGTGAGTGAGAGATAGGGAGAGATGAGTAAGTGAGAGATAGGGAGAGAGTGAGAGAGTGAGAAAAGATAGAGAGTGAGTGAGAGTGAGAGATAGATAGAGAGAGATGAGAGATTGGGTGTGAGGGAGGGGGTTGGATTTGGGGAGGGGGTCAGATTTGGGGAGAGGTAAGAGAACTAGAGAGATACATTGAGAAAATTGAGGAGTTATTTTGGTTTTAAAATCTATATCACTTTGAGCGATGAAAGATTGGCTGCGCAAAGTCTTAAAAAAAATTTGTGCGCCCCATTTTTGGCGCTCACCCAAATTTTTTGGGTTTTGCGTGACGCAATATTGGTTCGTCATGCAAAATTTATAGAAATAAATTTTATTACACAATTTAAAATTAAAAAAATGAAATAAATAGGGTTTATGCGACAAAATATTAGTATTCGTCGCCCAAGTTTAAAAAAAAATAATAAAGAAAATAATTTTATTTTACAATTTAAAATATAAATAAAATAAATAAATAGAGTTTAGGTGATGAAATGTTGATTCATCGTGCAAAGAAAATGATAAAAAAATAAAGAAAATAATTTAGGTTAACAATATAAAATATAAAATAAAATAAATAGGCATTAGGCGACGAAACATTAATATTCGTTGCGCAAAGCTTTTAAAAAATAATAAAAACTGTAAAAATAATTTATTTTACAATTTAAAATATAAAATTAAATAAAAATAAATAAGTTGGGTTTAGGCAACGAAATATTTAGATTTCGTTGCGCAAAAGTTTTAAAATGATAATTTTTTTATTTTTGTAAAGACTTTGCGAGACGAACTTTAAATTTTTGTTACGCAAAGTGACTTTGCGTGACAATGTACGTTTCGTTGCGAAAAATTTCATCGCTCACGACTTTGCGGGACGAAGTTTAAAATTTCGTCATGACGATGTGTGTTTCATCGCGCAAGGGTTTTTTTTTAACTAGTGCGAGTAGATGCTTTTAGTCAACTGAGCTACAACGCAAGTCAAAAGAATACATATATAAAGGTAGCACGAGTATAGTTTGAAGCAAATACATAAAAATGAATGATCATTTTTAATTACCCTCAACATCACATTTACTTACCCTCAACATCACATTTACTTGATCCACCAAACAACGCCCCATCAGTTCCATTCTCAAGCCTGACAAAATCACAATCAACCCTCAATTGCTTTGTAAACGCGAGATTCTTGTGACAAATAATACAAGAATAGGAGTACAAAGTAATAATTTGTATTAATAAATTTAGAGTTACAATCTCTTTACAAAACTTGAATCCTCGGATTCGATATTCGGAGTGAAAAGTGAGGGTGTTGTTGATCCAAGGGTCATGATAACTTGATCTCGAATGAACGGATGCCGCAAGGGTTTGGCTAGTGGCGATGGAAGAATCAGTACGTGTAGGGGTGCTTCACAAGTGTGGAGAGGAATACAAGATCTAGAGAAAACTGATATGGTGTAATAGGTTTTCTTATTAACTTCACAGAACAAGATTACATTCTTATACACACTGTGTACGACTTGATCCTATTCTATTGCCTATAATTAAGGCAAATTGAGAACTAAATAAGGAAGTAAATCACTAATGAATAATTTACAATGTTTGACCTAATCAATCCAAGATATCTTCTTTAACACTCCCCCTCAAGTTGGAGTGTATATTGATAACACCCAACATGTTGAGTAATGCCTCAAATTGAACCGAACCCAGTGCTTTGGTAAACAAGTCAGCTGGCTGGTTTGTTGTTCTTACATAGGCTGTTCGCACCATTCCTTCTTGTATTTTCTCACGCACTACATGGCAATCTATCTCTATGTGTTTTGTTCGTTCATGGAATACTGGATTTGAAGAGATGTGCAAAGCAGCTTGGTTGTCACAAAACAGCGCAACAGGTTGTGCATGGTTCACTCTCAAATCTTTCAAAATGTTCTTCAACCATGTGACTTCACAACATGTAATGGCCATGGAACGATACTCTGCCTCTACACTGGAACGAGACACGATACTTTGTTTCTTTGTTTTCCAAGAAATTGGTGCTTAGCCAACCAAAATGCAATAACCAGTTATCGATCTTCGAGTGTCTTTACATCGAGCCCAATCAGCATCACAAAATGCTCGTAATTGCAATGAACCTATGGAAGGAAGAAATATTCCTTGTCTAGGAGCTTGTTTGATGTACTTGAGAACTATGTGAGTGGCGTCAAGGTGTGGCTGCCGTGGTTTATCCATGAACTGATTCAACACATGCACTGCATAAGTTAGATCAGGCCTTATGATGGTCAAATAAATCAATCTACCAATGAGTCACCTATACAGGGATGGGTCGCTCAGTAATTCCCCATCTATTTGTGTGAGAGACAGATTTTGTTCCAAAGGAACCCGTGAGGGTTTAGCTCCAAGAAACCCAGTGTCATCTAATATTTCCAACGCATATTTACGTTGGCATAAAGTGATTCCCTTCTTTGATCTTGCAACCTCTATCCCCAAGAAGTATTTGAGTTGTCCCAAGTCCTTTAGTTTGAAACGTAAGGAAAGAAATTTCTTGGTCTCTTCTATCTCTTGTAAATTATTTCCTGTGAGTATCACATCATCAACGTAGACCAATAATGCTATGAAATTACCTTGGCGACGTCGGACGAACAATGAGTAATCAGAGCATGACTGATGGAATCCGACAATCTTGAGAGCCGTGGATAATTTGATAAACCATTGTCTCGAGGCTTGCTTTAAACCATACATGGATTTGTTTAATTTGCATACTCGAGTCTCCCCCTTTTGTCCGAATCCAAGAGGCAAGGACATATAGACATCCTCATATAAATCACCATGCAAAAATGCATTGTTCACATCAAGTTGGTGTAAATGCCAACCTTGTAGCGATGCAACACTGAGAAGGACATGAACTGTGGTCAGTTTGGCAACCGGTGCAAAGGTTTCCCGATAATCAACACCTTCAATTTGACTATATCCCTTCGCAACAAGCCGAGCTTTGTACCGTTCAAGACTGCCATCAGGTTTAAGCTTGACTTTGTAGACCCATTTGCACCCAATGGGACGTTTGTAGGGTGGCAAGGGCATGAGAGTCTAAGTGTGGTTGGTTTGGAGAGCTGCAATTTTATTTTGCATGGCCGCACGCCACTGGGGATCTTGGACAGCCTGTTGAAAACTAGTAGGTTCTTGGAGAAGGGTAAGTGTGGTGGTGAATGCTTTATGAGGAGAGGACAAGTGATCATAGGATAAATAATGTGAAAGAGGGTGAGAAGTACCTGAGGCCTGGACTATGAAAATCCTGCAAGAAGCTGGATGGTTTGGTTGGTCGTGTGCCACGTCGGAGGGGGGGAGTATCGCGGTGGGTAGGCGAAGGTAGAGAAGGTAGGTTGTTGAGAGCGGTGGTGGAAGGAGATGATGGAGAAAAAGGATCCTCGGGTGTGAAGCCATAATGACGAAGAGAATCAGGAGAAGTGTTTCTTGAGATAGTGACTGAATGAGATGGCTCGGGAAATGAGTCTATGGTAAAAGATAAAGGTGAAATGGAATGATGTGAGGGTGGTGCAGTGTAAAGAGCAGGAGTGTGATAAGGGAATTGATCTTCCAAAAACACAACGTCTCGTGAGACAAAGACCTTTTTAAGTGTGAGATCAAAGAGTCTATAACCCTTTTGACCATAAGGGTATCCAAGAAAAAGACAACGACTAGCACGGGGATCAAATTTGGAAGGTCGTTGCGCATGAGTGGATGCAAAACATAAACAACCAAAGACTCTTAAGTGGGAATAGTTGGGTTCTTTCTGGAACAGTTTTGCATATGGTGTTTTCCCTTGGAGAAGAGGAGTAGGTGTCCTATTGATGAGTTATGCAGAAACAAGAATGGCATCCCCCCCCCCCCCCAAAAAAAACTTTTGGGAAGAGAAGCTTGAAAAGGTAATGCTCTAGCCATATTGAGTAGGTGCCGATGTTTACGTTCAGTGACACCATTCTATTGGGGTGTATTAACACAACTAGATTGATGCAGGATTCCTTTGAGAGCATAAAAACGTTCAAGTTTAAACTCAGGACCATTGTCACTTCGTATTATTTTGACCTTAGTATTGAATTGAGTTTCTACCATGTGAATAAATTGGACTAAGAGTTCTCGTGTATCTGACTTTTGCTTCATCAAATAAACCCATGTGCTTCTAGTATGGTCATCGACAATAGTGAGAAAATATTTGGCACCGGAAAGAGACGCAACTTGATAACCACCCCAAATGTCAATATGTATTAACTCAAAACATGATTTACTAGAAATGGTGCTTAATTGAAAAGGCAATCTTGTTTGTTTGGCTAATGGACAAATCAAACAATTATTGGAAGCACAAGATTTATGATTGAAAATGGGAAATAACGAAGAAACTTTTGGAGAGGGATGTCCAAGATGTTGACGCCATAGACTAGGAGAAGTGAATTGAACGTTATTGCATGTTCCTTTCTTAGGGGGGTCAAGGTAGTAGAGCCCCTTCCGTTCAATGCTTATCCCAATCATCTTCCCCGAGCGTAGGTCCTGTATGACACAAAAATGGTTTAGGAAAATGGTGATATATAGTGAGTCATATGCTAACTTGCTGATAGAGATCAAATTTAATCGAAAAGGTGGTACACATAAGACATTATCAAGAATGAGATTGGGTGAAAAGATTATTTGTCCAATATGGGTGACTTTAGCAAATGAGCCATTGGGTAATTCAACAGTGTGATTCTCAACTGGTTTTGAATTCATGAGAAGATCAGGACTACAAACAATGTGGTCCGTAGCCCCACTATTCAGGATCCAAATATTTTGCCATGATATGTAAAAGAGAAAGCTTTACCTGAAAAATCTTCAACATGTGAGGGATTACCGACTTGATTAACGAAGGAAGACTTGTTTTGTTCAACATTTAAAGAATTTGTTTGCAATCTTCCTGAGAGAAAGGAAAGCTAGGCATCACCTCCTTTTTGCCATGCAATGTAACCTGATTCCCTTTGGAAGGCAAGGAATAACCTGATTCATTTTCAGCAGCGGCTTTTCTCTTTCGACAGTAGTCAAAAGTGTGACCATTTCAGCCACAAAAGGTGCACTTAAGGTGTGCACGACAGTTCTTTGTGGTGTGGTTTGTCTTGTTGCATTTACCATAGCGTTGCCTACTATTGTTAGACTCGGTTTCACGTCCAGCACCTTTCACAGCGAACACCGCTGCTTCTGATTGAACAATGCTCTTACCACTCGAGACTCTAACTTATTTCTCATGTCAAAGGACAAGTGCATAGGCTTTGTTTACAGTGGGCAGTGGCTCTAGCAACAGGGTGTTACCACGAACCGTAGCATACGATTCATTTAAACCCATGAGAAACTTCATAGTTTTCTGAGTTTCAACATATGACATCATCTTTCTCTTGGTCTCACAATGGTATGCCGGGATTGAACACAAGGCATCACGATCATCCCAAAGACTCTTAAGTTTGCTAAAATAGGAGCTTACCGTCATGTCACTTTGTACACAATCATGAATTTCGTTTTCAATATGAAATAATTGTACGATGTTCACATGAGAAAACCTCTCCTGTAGGTCTAGCCACATCTACCGTGCGTCCTTGCAATGTATGACACTTCCCGAGATTTCCTTTGACATGGAACCAAGCAACCATGTTTTCACCAGGTTGTTGCATCTGTTCCATTGTTGCAGTTCTTCAATCTGTTCATCACTTGGCTTCTTGATCGTCCCATCAACAAGCCCTAGTTTGTTCTTGACCATCAAAGCCATGGTCATGGATTGGACCCATGTGCCATAGTTATCTTCCACAAGCGGCTGCGGCATAAGTATTGCGCCAGGTTGATCCGAGTGGTGAAGGTAGAGTGGATGATTAGGGTTTTCCCATTTTTGATACAAAGTCATGCTTGAAGAGGTTGACTTTTCTGATTTGTCACCCATGGCTATTGCTGCTAGCGTTTGTGTTTCGTGTTTTGTGTGTGTCCTAGTTCGATCACTCTGGTACCATCTAGAGAAAACTGATATGGTGTAATAGGTTTTCTTATTAACTTCACAGAACAAGATTACATTCTTATACACACTGTGTACGACTTGATCCTATTTTATTGCCTATAATTAAGGCAAATTGAGAACTAAATAAGGAAGTAAATCACTAATGAATAATTTACAATGTTTGACCTAATCAATCCAAGATATCCTCTTTAACACAAAAGCTTTCTGAATCTTCTGAGTGTTTGGGAATTTGGGAGTTTGAGCATCTTGGTGTTTGGATGTATTTCTGACCCTTTTATTTCTCTTGGAGCTGCGTATTTATAGGCTCTCCAAGTTTTTACCTACGGCTAGATTTGACATTGATTGTGGACTTGATTAATTGACTAAAGAACACAAGACTTGATTTTGGGTTTGGTTGACATTTTAAATCAATTAATTTGTTTTGATTTAAATTTAAATTAATTAAATAATTAATAAAGATAATTCCTTAATTACTTTCCTTAATGACTCGTTTGGTTGTGATAAGTCACATGTAAAGTGTACGATATGTGAGACCAACGGTGCATGCCACGTAAGCCCAGGCATGTCAAAATTTAAGGTGTTGTTGAACATTTATTTTACCGAAATTTCGATGTCTACAAGCCTACTCGCGGAATGCGATTCTCTTTCCACCCTAAAACCACCCTGCACTGCCACGTTTGAACCCCACGATTCCGTCCCTCAAATCCTCAACCACAGCCGCAATTCAATCCTTGACAAATTAACATCAACGAGGCAGAAGCACTGGCACGCACTTGCTTCTCATTCTTCAGATGAATCGGATCTTGGTACAACCGTTAGCGACAGCGTTAGTCATGGAGAGAAACTCCTTGTGATAGAAAACCGATACTTGTCTGAGTACGTCGTAGTAGATGCTCGTCTTTGTAATTGTTTCTAGCAAATAAAGTGATGTACCAATTCGCGGTCAGTGAAGAGTATATAAAGGGAGCAATTGAGATGGCAATGCTGTAGCCAAGAATTACGTACGTGGGTGGGCAAAGTTAATTAATCTTTCAATTTTTTTTTTACGTACATAAAGTTATATAATAGTAAATCTAAAAGTAATAATTTGAAGTAAGAAATTTATACTATGTTTTCTAGGCTTGTAATCTTCAAAACTTTTAAATGAATAAAATAAGAAACCATTTGTAGTATGAAAATTTTAAATTGTTACTAAATTATAATATTAGGTAAAATGATGAGTTTATTTAACATTTAGTAGCTCTTATTTTCCTTAAAAACATCTTTAAGATTCAAAATTTACATTTGCTAAGTGAAAAATGACAGTTAAAAATCATTAAATAGCCCAAAAGATTACTGTTTTTATACTTAAAAAATTCAAAACTCTCCATATGCTATAGCCTATAGGGAACCTTCTACTTGGCTCCGCCACTTCGAGATGGAGTTGAGCTGGAATTCCGTGCTATAATGTGAAGAATTGTTTAAAATTATTATTGCGAGGATTCCCACAAGTCATGCCGTAAAGTTTAAACAAATTATAGGCGTTGTCGGGGTGGTGGAATTGGCGTTGATCAGGGTGCTGGTGGCTGCAGCAACTAGGTTTGCTTGGAAGAAACAATTTGAGTACATACTGACTTGGAGAGGAAGCATGGAGAACATGTTAAAGAAGTGGTAATTGACAATGAACTAACCTAGGGCCATACAGATTGGTGGTAATTCATGTTCTAAAACTAGAAGCAGCTTAATTAATTACTAATCATAGGATATAATTCTTGAACTACATTGCAATTAAACATCTTAATTAAGGCATCTTAATTCGGGGCTACTTCCCTGTTTCTTGGAAGAAATTTTCTGTGTGAAGAAATTTCAAGCTCTTAATTAAGCTTTTCTATTGAAGAAATTTTGAGATTTTTTTACTACGTCTTCAACGGCAGCTAGTTTTTTTTTGTGCATGGTTTTATAGGGTAAGGCATCTTCCATAAAAATAGCTAGTAATTGGTTGAATAATTTGAGGGCGTTAAGCTTTCCAATTTGAGTATAAAGTTGCGATGAAAACAAAATAAATTTTTCATCAAACTTCCAAACAAAAGAAACTAATTCTGAATTGAAAACTCAAGATGGATTTGAAACTGAAAAATATCTTGCCAATGTTTATGTCCTTGTTGTTAGTATCCACATCTAATGTCCAATCTGGTGTCTATGATGTAACAAGTGCAAATTATGGTGGAAAAGCGAACTCTGATATAACCCAGGTAGGCGTTATATATGCTTATGTAATTCTTCTTGAAATGCTAAACTAATATTTCTAGCTAGAAGAGAAATTACTTCCGTGCACACATAGTCTTTGCACATTCTTGTTTTTGTTTCTTGCTTTTTCTTTTGATTTGTTTTATTAGAAGTAAGCAATAAGTATGCATGGGAAAAAAAATGAATAAATGGAAAATCATTTCCGTTCTAGAATTGGTTCGTAATTAAACAGAATCATTTCAATTTTTAATTTTTAATTTTTTTTCAATGTTTTTAATTAGGCTTTGAGCAAAGCTTGGACAGATGCATGTGCATCGACATCGGCAAGTAAAATTGTTGTTCCAAGTGGGACATACAAGTTTATAGGGGCAACTTTGAAAGGACAATGCAAAGCTGCTATTGAGTTTCAGCTAAAAGACACGGTGCAGGCTCAAGAACATATCAAGGATCTCCCAAAAAGAAGATACTTGGGTAGCTTTTGAGCGCATTGATGGGCTCACCTTATCTGGTGGTGGAACTTTCGATGGCCAAGGAGCAATTGCTTCGAAGCAAAATGATTGTCACAAAAACAAAGATTGCAAATCTAAAGCTGTCGTAAGATAATTTAAATCTCGTTCTTTTATAATTTAAATATCAATTGCTAGATTGTGAAACTAATAGGCTGATCGTACTCTTCTAAGAGAATATATATATATATATATATATATATATATATATATATATATTTATGGTGCCTGACAGCCAGAGCCATACGTGTGAAAGGCGTATATATTGGCCATTAGGTAGCGACTCTAAGTCATGAATCATGTGGATAATTTGCGATTTTGATTCATTCTGACTATATAAAAATTCTCCTAACAATATTACTTTTGCAAGAGACATTACTCGTCTTAATATGTTTTTACTGTTTTCACACTTTGGCAGAATTTGAGGTTCAATTCTGTCACCAATTCCATAATTCGAGATATAACAACAAAAGACAGCAAAAATTTCCACGTCAATCTTATGGGTTGCAAAAATCTGGTATTCCAAGATTTTACTGTCTCAGCGCCTCAAGAGTGTCAATACAGATGGAATTCATATGGGACGTTCATCTGGGATCAACATCACAGATACAACCATTGGAACTGGGGATGATTGCATCTCTATAGGTCACGGAACCAACCAACCCCATGTAACCAACGTTAAATGTGGACCAGGCCACGGCATAAGCATCGGAAGCCTCGGAAGGACTGAGGATGAAGAACCTGTGTCCGGAATCTTTATCAAGAACTGCACGATTACAAATACAGATAATGGTGTGAGGATCAAAACCTGGCCTGCTTCCCCTGCAAAGGGTACTGTTGTCTCAGATGTTCACTTTGAGGATATTATCATGGACAATGTTAAAAACCCTCTCGTCATAGACCAAGAATATTTGCCCATATAAGCTGTGTACACCTGAGGTATACTATTTACACCAAATTTACATCATAGTTTCTTTTTAACTTAGTCAAATACTTAATCTTGAAGAATAGAATACAATTGATAACCATTTCATCTATTGACACCAATCTCCACTATTTTGAATGGATACTTGAGTTCACCAGCCTATTTGAGATTGTTTATGAAAGGTTTAAAAAAAATATGTCGACCAAAAGCACTTTTATCAATGTTTGATATAAAAATTTAAAAGCACTTTATGGAGAAATATATTTTTTCAGGAAGAACTCCCATGTAGTTTTCCAAAAAATTACACTTGAATTTTTAATTACTTTTTTTGGCATATTTATAATTGAAACATTTTTGGTGCTTCTTAATGATACTATTATTATGTGCAGGTTTCATCCAAAGTTAAGATCAGCGATGTCAGCTTTAAGAACATAAGGGGCTCATCTTCAGGCCCAGTTGGTATCAAGCTTTTATGTAGTGGAAAGCTGCCATGTGAGAATGTGAAACCGAGTGACATTGATCTCACATACACTGGAGATAAAGGCTCTATTACCTCTGAATGTAAACATGTCAAGCCCACCATTAACAACGTGGCAAAGCCTCTTGCTTGTGCTACATCTTCTTAAAAACAAGCCAATTATTCGTTGTGAACAAGTTTTTTTTGTTTGTTTTTGTCGTGCGTTGTAAATAAGTTACCCATAAGACTTTTCTCAAATAGCATGAGATGAGCGTGGGTTGACGGTTGAGTTTTTTGTTCAAAACTCTCTTTGTAATAACATGATAAAATACATTTTGTGTTCATTACTCCAAGTTTCCCTAGCTAGTACTGAATTTTCATATGTGATTTGAATTTAAAATACTTCATTTATAGGTTAACTGTTGAACTTTTTCATTTTTTTAAACAAAAATAAAAATTACAAGGATATCCGAGTTGTTGGAATATGACACTATGTTTAGTCTGTTTAGACCTTCTAACTATAGTTATTTCCTTATAACTGATGGACATAAGTAGTCACATTTATTTACTAGAACCATAGACTTTTACAAGAGTTTTTTATGCAAGCAAACATTGGGGGAAGTGAAAATAAAACTTATGACCTCCGGTATATGGGGTAGATGTTTTTAATCAATTGAGCCACATCACAATAAGTCAAAAGAGTAATACATATATAAAGTAGCACGGGCATAGTTTGAAGCAGTACATAAAAATGAACGATCATTTTTAATTACCCTCCACATCACATTTACTTGATCCACCACACAAGAGCCAC